TGTTAAAGATTAATCATGTGATTTGGGTAAAAGTGCATGCTGTGCATTTTCAGTGTTTGCAGAAGTGTTAGAAAAGGGATGAGTGGAGTATTCCAGCTGACAGTTTTCTATGGATATTATTATATTTTTTAATTTTGGAAATGGGCATACAAATTCACTAACATTGACATTACCAGTTTATTGAGAAAAAGGAGCTATGTTGGACATATATATGTGTATATATACATATATATGCTGTAAAATTCAACCAATTCCTGTTAAAGATAGTAATCAAGTTGGACATATAAGATGTCCTAGCAGATCAAAATGTAGAGCCCCTTTCTCTTGAGTAAACTGTATCCATCCATTCATTCATCCTTCCATGCATTCATTTTTTTCCAACACTTATCAAGTACTTAATGTTCATTAACTTCATTTTTTTCTGTCAACATTTCTTGCAGGCATACCACATGCCAGGTACTCATGCCAAGTTTAAAAAATCCCAATATCTGTTTGTCCCATGAGATATGGTAGTAATCAAATAAGCTAATGTAGAAGGAAAGGCTGTATTATGCATTGGCATGCTATCAGGACATGAAGGATTATTATTATCCAATCTTTAATATCACTGCTTTGTAATCCAGTATTCTGGTATTCTTCAACCAGTTGACAGGCATAAATATTACCCAGGACTCCACAAGCCTGCAATTAAGAAACTGGAAACATTCATAAATATACAAGTTGACTAATTATTCCCAATTAGCTAGCAGATTTAATATTGTAATCACTGTAAGACATATTGGCTAGTGTCATGGAATGGAAAGAAGAGTTTGGCTACATTATATTATGTCAAAATTTACATAAAGATTTCATTATATTTAATGGGACCTGCCAGTCTGAGCCATGGCTACCCAGGCAGCCAATGATGTTTTTGAGATTTTGCTTGTGTTTGGGAGTTTGGAGATCAAATTAACAGGTGACCTTGTAATTTAGTCATTGAAAATGGGAACATTTTAAATCCCTATAATATTGTAAAATCCTTATGGATCACTCAGTAAAGAAATACAGTATTATTAGCAAGTCTAGCATTAGAAAAGACTATGGCACGGAAAGGTCTCAAGGAAATAGCATGGGATTATTCAGTTGCGGCCTCAGCTGACTGGTGATATGCGTAACTTAAAAACCCTTCACTCCCAGACCTGTGCTTCATCTCAACTGCCTGAATAGTGAAAAGAACTAGATACAAGTTATGGTGCCATTTTCACTTTAAAGATGTTATAATAAATGCGAGAATTCTTACCTGCATTTGTTTTTAACCCATGGTCTCTGTGGCTCCCCAAACAGTACCAGGGTTTGTTTATAAGACAAATGAATAGTTTTCCTATGCACATATTCATATGGAAACTATACACTTATCATATTTATTATCTATAACATACATTATTGTATATTATATATATATAATTTCCTGTAGGAGACATAGGTATTCTCCTTGAACTCATATATTTCTTGGTTTAATCCTTTCTGGTAGCATCTCTAGGTCTCAGAGTGAAACATTAATATGTCAATTTGGAGCTCAGTGGTCTTCGATTTTAGTTGGAATTGTTCCATGAAGCTTGAATAAGCGCTGACCTACCACTCTATACCTCCCCTGGAAGGCAGATCTTGTCCCGCTTGCTTTCTTGTGAGATGTGGACAGGACCATTGCCCCAGGACCCTGACCTTTAAGGTGGCTGCACCACCGTGTTGCCTGTTTACCTTTTCTAGCATCCAATGCTTAGAAATTTGTCTTATTCATAAGGTGTACTTGTATTAAGCTGTGCAGAAATAAAGATGCACATTTATTTGTTCAAAATGAAAAGGAAGCAACAGTGTAGCAGGATAAGATTCTTGAGTACTTTAGTGGACATGTTTTTTGCCAAAAATGGAGAGACAGACAAATCTAGGATTCTCTTAATGCATTTGGGTTCTCTTAATGGCTCATGGTATAAAGGTGCATATGTTGGCTATAGCTCCTTAAAGTGGGGAGGTACATGTTAAGGAGGCTGGATATTTAACCTTTTGTTCAAAATGTCTTTCCTTTGGATGAGCTGGAAACTGACAACTGTTTCTATTGGGACATGTGACCTTGTATTTACATTGTCCTCATGGCACAAGGACAATTGGGAATGGACAGCACTGAATTGCTTTTGTCATCTCCTTATTCAGTCTGCCTGACTTTAGACCTGTACGTTTTTTACTTCCGATTTAGTTAATTAATATTTTGCTTGCAATTTGTCTTTGAATTAATCTTAACGTTTTCCACCTTACCCTTGGTTCTTGATGGGACTGTTTCTGCACTACAATTTTCACCAACCTTTCTGGCCTTGCCTTCAGCCTGTGGACCCAACTATCCTAATGTGACCCAAATCACACGCTTGATCCCACCTTGCCAGAGTAGGCAGTACTCACTGTCTTTCCTCTTCCCAGATCCTCTGTACCTGAGACCCTTCTTATTTGAGCAATCTTTTTATTATTTATCACTCCATGCTTACGATACACAATGACAACTTTTATTGTAGGATTTGGTACGTGTACATGACCCACACTAATTCTTTTTTATGTCTGCTTCCCTTCCCACCCTTCCTCCACCCCACCTTGTCTTGGTCCCTTTCCCATTTGCAGTGGATCTAAATCCCTAGTTCTTATTGTCGCTCTTTTATTTTGCTCTTTATTTATACTTTGGATTTCTCATATTGAAGCTTATGTGTCTGATTTATTTCACTTAACATTTTGTCTTCAAGGTGCATCCATTTTCCCACAAATGACTCAAATTTATCTTTCTTTATGGCAGAGTAGTACTCCACTGTGTATAGATACCACATTTTCTTTTTCTTTTCTTTTCTTTTCTTTTTTTTTTTGATACTGGGGATCGAACTCAGGTTCTTGTGCTTGTGCAGCAGGCGGCGAAAACACTGAGCTAAATCCCCGGCCCGATACCACATTTTCTTTATCCATTCATCTGTTGATGGACACATAGGCTGCTTCCAAGATTTAGCTGTTGTCAGTTGTGCTGCTGCTATTGACACGGGTAGGGATGAATCTCTGTAATAGGATCTTTAACTCTTTCGGGAAGATACCTAGTAGGAGAATTAGCTGGGTAGAATGGAACATCTGTGATTAGTTTTTTGGAAATCTTTCTTTCCTTTCAAAGATACATTCACTTTGCTTTTCACTATATTTTCTTGTAGTTACAAGAACTAAATTATCAAGGCAGAGTTCCTTTCGATTTTGCCCTTAGTTGACTGTGGACTTTGAGGCAGATTTCATTCATTACATGTTGATTTTTCGTGGTTACATCTTGGTGTTTAGGGATGCTATAGTTTGCCTTGATGCCAGTTTAATAATTAGAATATTACCTTTGCAGTTTATGAAGTGTTTTCTATCTCCTGCCAGCAGCCCCAGGGTGTGAGCATTACTGTGGAGTAGTTGCTTCCTTTAGGCAATTTTCTATATGTCTCCCTTCCATCTGTGGCTTTGTGACTTGGCTGAAAGAATCAGAGCAACTGACAGAGGCTACGTGGAACCTCTAAATGGGACAAGGAAAGGTAGAACAAAATGAAAACAAAACCAACGGTGAAGACAAACACATAATCTGCAGAAGAAAGCGAGTGGGGTGCGTGGCAGGACCCTGTGCAAGCCACATCAGCCTCAGAACAAAGTCATCTTGGCTGAAGCGTGGAGTCAGAACCATTGCCAGGGGCTGCTCTGATGAACTCTGGATGCACTGTGGCGTTGTCCAGTGAGCTGCTGGCTGTTGCTGTGCTTCCTGGACCCCTGAGAGTGTTCCTGGAAGGATGAAGTTTTCTTTCATAGTCATAAGCTGGCTTTGATGGTGCCTTCAGGCAGGCCAGGGCCCAGAGGCTGTGCAGGGACTGTCATTCTGTGTGCGTTCCTGCTCCCTGGGTGCTGTTCTCTAGGTGGCTCGGGTCCCCCACTCACCTGTGTCAGCTGGCAGGAGCCTTGGGGATGAGTGTTCAGGGAATCCTGCTGTCTCCCTAAGCAGCCAGGACTCCACTTGTCTCCGAAGCTCTTCATGGCTGGCTGCTCTGTTTCTGATCTCCCTTCTTGTTTACTTGCAAGCATACGGTTTAAAGAATATTCTGCTTAAAAGCAAGTGACCTCCCTGGCCATGCCCTGTTCCTGCTTACATCATCAGTGACCTTCCATGTCTTCGGGTACTAGGGCCAACATCCTGGGAGTGGAAGTCTGGGCTTCTCAGGATGCAACATCGAGTGTCCATTGTACACAGCCCAAGCATCTCATTGGCGACTGCTGCTCCCCGGTATGTGGCGCTGCTTGTGTTTGAGTCCTCTCTGTTTCCCACTGTTAAGCCTCTGGAAGGCTAGGTCCATGTCTGGACCTCTGCCTGCTGTGGATACCACTCACAGCACCAGCCAGAGCTCTGATTAAGAGCAGGTGTTCTGTGAATATTCGCTGCATGCTACACAATATGAGGAAGTTTTCTGAATAACATTTTCAGTCCAAGAAAAATAGTAGCTCTAGCATTGAATAACTCCTGTTCAATATAGTTTTGGAAACATTAGCCACAGCAATTAGACAAGAGAAAGAAATAAAAGGAATAAAGATAGGAAATGAAGAAGTCAAATTGTCATTATTTGCAGATGACATGATATTCTATGTAGAAGACCCCAAGAACTCCACCAAAAGTCTTCTAGACTTAATAACCAAATTCAGTAAAATAGCTGGATACAAGGTCAATACACAAAAATCAAAAGCTTTCCTCTACACTAACAACAGACTCACTGAGAGAGAAATAAGGCAAACAATTCCTTTCACAATAGCATCCAAAAAACTGAAATACCTAGGAATCAACCTAACAAAAGAAGTCAAAGACCTCTTCTCTGAAAACTTTGGATGATTTTTTCTTATGTATTCTTTTATGTGGAGTACTATGTTTTTAAAAAATTATAAATTCTGAAGTACAATTAAAAACAAAATATCTTTGTCCAGTATCTAAAACTGAACTATTGGCAATTTATTTTAAAGTATTTGCTTCAGATCTTTAACGCAAGACAGAAAACACTCCAAGCAAGTCTGACCTTTTGTTCTACATCTCATTCCTCTTTGGAAGGTAAGTACTACTATGAATTTTTGTTTATGTATTCCACCTTTCCTTATGTTTTCATGTACAAATACGTATAACAATTCTACATGTTAGGAATGACCAAGCTATGGCCTGTAGGTCAAATCCAGTCTATAGTCTATTCTAGTAAGGACTGCAAACCAAGAATGGTTTTTAAAGAGTTGTAAAAGAAATAAACAAAAATAATATGTGATAGAGAACATATGTGGCCCACAAAGCCTAACATTTATTATTTGTCCTTTATTAAAAAAAAAAGCTCACCAACTCTTGGTATATAATACAGCTTTGTTTTAAGCTATGGAATTTTATTATAGCCCATGACTGTTCTGATATTTGCTTTAATTTTCAGCCCTATGTTTTGTGAATACTGTCCGTATGTATGTATCATCTATCTATCCATCTATTGTCTATCATCTATCTATTTATCATCAATTAATCCATCAGCCATTTATCTATATCTGCTGAATAGTGTTCCATCAGATTAATATAGCACACTTTTATCTACTCCTCCACTGGATGGGCAGTTGGATTTTTAAAATAATTTTTACCCTGAAAAAGAAATTAGAGGATGCCTTGTTGAACAGTGTGTCCATGACAGTTTTTCAAAGGACTCACTCTTGGAGGTGGAACCATGGGTGTTCTCAGTGTTTCTGGACAGGTCCAGAGTATTGGTAGCAATTGTAAGTATTTCAACAGTTATCTTGAGGTCAGGCCTCAATGCCTGCGAGCTTTAGCTTCCCCATCACCCCAGGAAATGAGAAGGAGGATGCCTTTCCTGATGGCCTTCAGCATTCTATTGCCTCTGCAGGACAACAAAACATTGTGAGCAAAAGCTAAGAGTGTAAAGCACTAGAAATATGAGAGTGCTGGAACTTTAAAGAGTTACACGCAAGGATGTCAAGAAGGGCTCTTGCTAGGCTGAAAGCACATGACAGGAGTGGAAGCTCTCTCCAGGGTAGTTTGTCAGGATAATCCTGCATGATATTCCATGCCAAAGCGGCGTCAGGAACAGGCATTCGGCTTTGTGGTGGCGTAGCCCAGCGCACACTTTCTCCAGCTGCTGTCAACAAACTTGTGGTCAAGGACCACTTCCTCCAGCATCCATAGGTCCAAGAACAAAGACTGATGGAAAGGGTCCCCTTGAAGTCAATTGTGATTGGGGTAAAGAAGAACTTATTGCACATTTACTGTGTGGTCCAGCCTGAGCCATAGGCCTGGGCCAAGGCAGGGGAAAGGAAATCACAAGAGAGATCAATGAATGAAATAAGATCCTTGATTCAGGTGACTCATGGATTCACTATTGTCTGGCATAAGAACCAACAAGTACTTAGCTCTTTCAGTGTCTCTGTGATCCATGTGATATAGGTGATCATTACCTATGATTGAACACAAAGTAGAACAAACCCATATGAGTGCTTCCCAGATGTAGGTCTTTGGGCATAGTCCTTGGATATTTCCTCACCTGCAGAATGAAAATTGGAGGAAATGATTTTCCTTACTAAATACATCTGTCCCTTGTTCTGTACCCACCTCTGCCCCAGACTGATGCCCATCACCTCTCATAAGACTGTTGCAATAGGCAGCTGGTTGGTCTCTCTGGCTCCTGGCTGTACAGTGCTACCAGAGGGATAAAAGTTCATTCATTATCTTCAGCTGGAATCCAACCACACCACCAGAGAACATGGCTTTTGTCACTGCCTTCCTGGCTCTCCAGACTCAAGTCAACCACTTCTCAAACTCCCAGGTCGTTTGTTGTTCTCAAAAGGTGCCACACTGTTTCATCTTCCCCGCTTCTTCTCACACTCCCACAGTAAGGAGTTTGAGATCATATCAGGGATTGTCTCATATGCATCTTGTAATCTAAGTACCTAGAGAATAGTCACCACCAGATGTAGTGACTCCACTAAACATATTTTCTACGTTAATGGAGAATTACACTCGTGAAGGCATGAAAGGCTGAAAGCAATCCCAAGGTGACTTAGCTCTCCTGGAGTCTCGACTAAGTGCTTGTTTGTGAATGAAGCTGCTGTTTGGGCACCAGCACCTGGGTCAGTCTTTCTAAATAAAGCTCTATAAGAAGAGCTTGAAGGGTAGGCAGAGGTACAGACAGAGCTGGTGGGGCAGCTGTGATACAGAGGAAGGTACAGGGTGAAGACACACACCAATGAGTGGACATGTCTGCACCAGGGACCCGGCGCCAGCAGTGGGTTTTATAATGCGACATTGTCTTCCAGTGTAGGCGAGGAAGAACACATTATACATCTCAAATATTACTTGCAAACCTCTACCAAATTTTATTGAGGAAAACAGAGTCACTACTTTATTGGCTAAAGGTGAGTATCACGGGAGGAGTGTTGGCCTAGGAATCAAGAGTTGCGAGTGTGGGTCTCACATGTGCTCATGCCTGTCCTGTGTTCATGCACCCCACTTCTGTCTTGGGACCTAAACTTAACCATCCTTTAGTTTCTTGGGAAGGACTAGTGAAGAACTGAAGCAAGTTCTGCTCTCTTTCACCATCTTCTTGGCAGGTATCATTAATGAATATTAATCTTATTCCATGGGATCCTTCCCAGAACCACTACCAATTGATCAGAAAAGGTCTTGATATGATCCTATCCAGGTTTCTGGACAGTTCTAGCACCTTATGAATCTTATGAAAATAAGGCAAGCATTTGGGATATGAAAATTGCTCTCATTCTCTTTATACCTGCATTGCTAGGAAGATGAACTCTCTCCAAATTTTCACTCAAGTGGTAGGCTGGAAAGACAGAGCACAGGCAGTTGGTATCATTACTAGAATCTTGTGATGATCTTTTCACCAGTCAAGTACCCTGATCTGGCTCTAGTTGACTTAAAACACTGACAGCTCAATACTGATAGCCTCAATAGCTAGCAGCTGTTAAACAAATAGCACAAAACCAACAACCAATCAACCAAACGAACAAATAACACCAAACCACCAAAAATACAGGCTGCAGCTCCTCTAAAATAGATACTCAGCTAAAAATTTGATGTTTTAAAGTTATCACACAAGAGGGAAAGATTCCTTGTATACAATAGATTCCTTCTATAGCAACCCGAGTGCTTGTTATATTTTGTTTCTCCTGGGTTTTTGCAGCCAGCATTTACTCTATGGTCTACTCTGAGAAAGCATCATGAGTCTGAAGAGGGTAGAAGCAAGAGAGAGAGGCTAATGTGCTAATTTAGACTCATCCTTGCCAGAATAGTAATCCTTCTCAGGAGAGCACTGGATAATTCTCTAGCACTTTCAGAAATAACTGACTCCTGTAATGTCTTAGCAAAGAAGACAGAGTGAAAGGTGAGTGTCCATGCCACAGAAAACCACTTCTCTTTTTACTCAGGAAAGCTGATGGGGGCTTATGTGCTGGGCTCTCGAGATGCACACATGAATCAGACAAAAGACCAGGGATCTCAGTCTATTGGGGAGAGGGAGAATTGAAATTCTATGGATGCACACTGGTATCACTGGAGTGACCAACATTGGATAAGATTGGTAGAATTTCTGACATGCCAACTGTTATGTCTTTTCAATATTCTGCCTACAAGGAGCCAGCATCGGTAACCTGACCATGCAGCAAGAACTACCAAAATGTGTATTTGCTCAACATCACACAGAAACCAGTAAGTAGAACTGTTAATAGAACTCAAATCTGACTCCTGTCCTTTTCACTCAGCTGTCCTCTTTCCTAATATTATCTTATTATTTAAAAAACATTATTCCTTATACTGAACTGCTCATGGCTCGTTCTCTATTTTATTCATATTTTCTTTGCGTATTCCTTTTAACAAAAGAAGGCTAAAGGTCAAGAACTGCACTGTACTGGACCTTTGACTCATGTCTCAGAGTAGAGCAAACTTTCCAATTTCCTGTTCATGTTCTGGTTAATCATGATACTGCACCCAGTTTTGCAATCCAGAGAAATGTCTGATTCACCCTAAATCCCCTTTTCTACCTCCTTCCACACAGGAAGCAAAAATCTCTTTCCTGATCATTCCTGTCCTCTTAGTACCATACTTCTTACATTTGGCATTTAGATAAATGTGCATCTTTACAATCTCTAGATTTGCTTCTCTTTAGTTTATTTTTACATAGTCATCATAGCATCATCAAAATATACAGAGTTGGGGATACATCCCTGTCTTTTAAATCCTTCCAGCTGTCTACCAGGCTAAATTTTGATGTGACTCCAAAGGCTTCCTTGATCTAGATTACTTGGTTGGTGGGCTTTGTACACTTTGCTCCTTCTGGTGGTATGCTGAACTCTAATGCCCTTATTCGTTGAGCCTGAGAAAATTTTTCAGGACTCTGACCCTTTGGTTTGCCTATTCCTAGATTTGGTATACTCTCCCTGGGCTGGAATTCCTTTCATACTTCAAAACCCCAATATAATTTTTTTATGTAAAAGTATTACCATGTCCTCTGTTTCCAGGATCTTATTTATTATATTGCTTTACAGTTAGTTGGAGTCCCCCTGCCCTCTCCCTTTCTCTCTTTCTTTGTTCAAAATTCCCTTTTGGCAAAGACCATCATTTAGACTTTATTTAGCTTGCTAGGTCCAGAAACCAGACCAGGATCGGAACATTTTAACAGTTTACTAAATGCTTATGGGGAGAGTGTTTTGCTAAAAAATGCTACAAAATATAATTATCTCCTTCATTCTCCTCTAGAAAGGCCTAAGTGTTTTTCTTTCTTATTTGCTTTCTAGAATGGCAAGTGTAAATACATATTGAGACCAATGTCCTAGAAAACCCATGAGGAACTCCTTATGCCTGTTACCTTTGTCTTTTCTGAACAATGTGGTTCCCAATGTGGTTCCAAAGAAGCACCTTGTGCTTCTTTACAAACAGGATAAAAATAGGCAATTTTATCAAATTCATGGTAATATGGCAAGAGTTACAAAGTATGTTTCTTGAAAGCACATCATCTTATTTTGCTCATAGAAGATGAAGAATCTAAGGCTAGCAAGCAAATCGAGCCATTTTCCCCAGCAAACAGAGGCCAGAGTTTGAAATCACAAGTCTTAAATTAAAGTTTCTGACCAACTACTTAATACCTGTGAAACCCATAGGAATGTGTTTAACTTTTACCTGTGTTAATTTACTCACTGGAAACTTGTAATAGTAGAAAGTTCCTTTAAGACCAAGTAAAGGATTAGGTGAGAAAATGCATAAAAGTTGCCCAGAAAGGTGACTGTCTTATAGTAGGCATGCAAGAAAGTTGAGTCCTTTTCTCATACAGGACTTTTGCAAGTTCGCTACACTTTGTAAAACCCAAAGTGCTCTAAAAATATTAATGATTATTCACACATATTTGATGTAGAGGAGCAAGACCCTGCCCTCAGGCATACTTAAATAGAACTAAACTTACGGATAGTACTTTATGGAGTTTCTACTTAATAAGACAGGATACAAAATCGGTCTCTGGAAATCTTTTTCTTATTTTTGCCTAGCTATACTGTTGTGTCTCATAGATCAGTTCATCTGAGAGCTATCAAGATTTACTGCCAACATTAAAACATAAAGAAGAAGAAACTTCAAAATGTTACCTTATAGTGTTGGACATTTAATTAGTGGTAGTTTGATGCTTTAAACACAGAGCTCATTAAAGTGAATAGATTCACCAATAAGGAGCCAAATCCAAATGTAATTATTTTCATTAGAAAATAGTACATGTCACATATGAAATCCAAAATTCTAATCCTGAAGAGCTACATGTACAGAAACAGGTTGGCTAATGCATGCAAGGAGCAGGCACACACCTCAGATTCTGTCCTTTGCTATGGTACTTTCTCCTTACCTCATTTAATCTTCATAGCAATAGTGTGGGGTAGGTACTAGTGCCTCAATTGTGTAGAGTATTAGGGTCATGAATTGCTTTTCTTTAAATTGTGTGACTAGTGAGAGACAAACTAAGATGCATCCCAAAGTGTTCTGATTTGGGGGATCCTTAGATTGAGATCTCATTCAATTATGCTCCAACACAATTAGGGGCTGGAGTCTACTTGATATCTTCATCATAGCTGTAAAACTCAGAACACAGAGCATGCTTGAGTCACTGTGATGGTTACTCTGATTGTCAGTGTGACTGGACCAAGAGGCACATAGTGGCTCGTACAGCACTCTTCTGGGAAACGATGAGGATGTTTCCAGAGACAGCTGACATCTGGGACAGCTAAGTGGTGGGAGAGACCCTCCATGCATGTGGGTGGCACCATCCAATAAACTGGGGCCCGGATGAAAAAAAAGAGAAAAAGGAAGCCCAAGAGCACAATGCTCAGCCTCTCTCTCCTTCCCAGCCACCACGATGTGAGCTACTCTGCTTCACTCTTCAGCATGAAGCTCTGCCTCAGTACCAGCCCAGAAGCAACAGCACCAGCTGACCCTGGCCTGAAACCTCTGAAGCTCCAAGGCAACACAGTCTTTCCTCCTCTGAGTGGCTCATGTCAGGTATCTTCACGGGAATGGAAAGTTGACTAATACAGTCATATGTTAGTAAAAAGTGATTCTATTTCCAAACATTTCCTGATCACTTCTCTATGATGAATACTGAACTCTGGAATGTGAAGTCCTGTTTATTTTTTCTGATTGATTCTTATTTAAAACTCAGAAGCAGCAGAGTATGAGCTGTGTGGGAAAGAGAAAAGTGGGGTGTGTGTGTGCTGGTTTTCTTTGGAGTTGTGTGTATTTTGAGAGAATTGGGTTGGGATTAGGGGTAAGGGTGGAGAGAGAGGTTTGTATCCCCATGAGTGGCAGAATGCTTGCTCCTGACATTGTCTATAGCTTTCCCACCCCCAGTCCACCACCTGTTCATAAAATCTTAATGACCACTCGTTTCAGGAGTTGTAACTGAGAACCTTTAAGTCTGAGAATTTTAGTGAATTTACAGGACTTCTGAGAGGTAAAATGAGCAAACATGATGTCACTTTTTGATCCCCACAACTGAGATGTAAGACTTGAGAAACTCTGAAGGCAGGGAAGTATTTATTCCACAAGCTGGATCTCATTTGATATGCACCTGACAGCATGCACAGCTGGCATTTTCCAACCTGAGGACTCTCTTTACTGCAAATTGTGGACCCTGGAATCAGCAATTTACTAGTACCCACTGGATTAATTTTCCATTTTGTGTAACAATTACCCCAAATCTGTAAGATTAAAGTCACACCCATTTTTTATTATCCATGGTGTCTATAGATCAGGAGCCTAGGATGACTTAACTGGGTTGCCTGTGGAGTGTCTCATGAGGCTGCGGTCCATGTGTTTGCTAGGTTGCATTTTTTATCTGGATGTTTGGATTTTCTTCCCAGCCATTGACAAAATTCAGTTCCTTGTGGTTGTAGGAGTGAGGTCCTTAGGTGCTAAATGCCACTCCCCTCCATGGAGGTTTTCCAGCATGGCTGCTTCAAAGCCAGTAGCTTTAAGCCTGCTCAGAGAAAGGAAGGCAGGACCTTCCTTTAAAGAGCTCACCTGCTAGCCTGGCAGGCCCACCCAGTATCATTTTTTGATCAACTCAAAGACAATTAATTGCTAAGGGGCCTTAATTACATCTGCAAAATTTAATCTTTTTTACCACATTCTTTTATTTACTATATTCATAGGGTTGTACAACTGTCATGACAGTCTAATTTTAGCACGTTTGGAATATGTCATCTTCCCATTTTCCCAACTGCCTGCAGTTGAGAAAGGGAATTTAGTCTTTCAGGCATAATTATGTATGATAATTATTGCACAGTATATTTTTGTTTTATGAAAATTTAAACAATCGTGATATAAAGTACTTACTAATTGGCTATTACATTTATGGTGAATTTACCTAAATCATAAAAATTGCATGCATTTTTAATATTTCTTTCCCACATCACTTTGGTAAAAATATTTTTTAGTGGTGACTGGTGCTCATTCTTTATCTTCAGGAACAAGTTTCACAAATAAAATGAAGAAATGTATGGGCTGTGAATGTTATCCAGCTGCTTGAGGCCATTGATGATGTAGTACAGAAATTATTCCCGAGGTTTGCGTGGAACAAAAGCAGGAGGGAGGACTGCTTGAAGTATTTAGGGGGGCATGATGCTGAATAGGCTTTCTGCCACTTTTCAGAAAAAGAAGTTGAAGGAAAAACAGAACTCACATCCAGGGTCCTGAGGATGGGTATCAGAGGCACACCAAGCTCAGAGCTTGAGGCTGAACAAGCCCTGGTTCTTGGCCTCTTGACAGGACTGCTCAGCAGGGAGCTCACCTGAGCCTCTGGACCTGCTTCCTCTCAGCCTTCTTTCCCTTTCCTAACACTGGGATGGAAAGAACCAATCATGGCTGCCAGGTTTTGGTCCTATTACTAACAAGATTTGCAATAATGAACAACTTATCTCTTTGAGCTCATTCACTCAACATAAAATGGAAATAACAACTAAATGTCGAGGAGTATTGATATAAAGATTTTAATGTGTACCTGAAATACCTATGTATCGCACACAAGAAACAATAGACTTAGATGTTCCTTAATTCCACCAGTAAGCCAATGCATTTATTCAGTAGCTAAAATTAATTAGTGTTCAGACGAGTTAAATTTTGGTTCATGTAAAGCAAGAAGGGACAAATCTTTAGTAGTTTTTAGACCTAAGTCCATTGAGTGTAAGACAGTTTTTAATTGAAAGCTGCAGTTTTTAAAAGAAGTATAACATTTGGCTGTATGGTCTCATTCATTTGCTCAAGAGTGAGAATAACAAGTATGTCAGGGGGGTAGGGACTAGGAGTATAGACAAAAAATAAACAGTATCTTTAAAGATACAACTAAAGCTGCTTCCATTTCAATGCATTCCATCATTTAAGTAAAACACTCTAATTATTTCATGTTGAAAGTCATATTTAGTCAGGTGATTTGAGGTTTTAACTGTGTTTATTTGTAATTTGTTACCAATTTATACTTTATTTTTCCTAATTATTCTATTCAGTTCTAGAGTGAGCACTTGTGTCTTGCCTCTACATTTATGATTCTTCTGAAAAAGCCTACTAAATAACAGATTTATATAAACCCCCCAAACGGTATTGTTGTTATCTAGTTCAATGATACAGGCCACAGTGCATCTTTTGTTTCTTTTAACAAGGTCTATTGAAGGAAAGTTCAGGGAAACCTCATGCATGCATTACAAGAAAAGCACTTGAAACTAAAGAACTGAGCCTGCTGTGTTTGTCGGATCCCCTCATGTAACTGCTTAGTGTGTAGATCAAGGAAGCATCTGATCATTAATGACAGGAAATGACAACGGTGGGGGGAACCAAGGCAGATGAAACGTGCAGAGCTTCAGTGAGAGTGTGTGAAGCATGTGTTCAGGAGTCTGTGTGGGTCTTGTCTCCCAGCACCTGCCTACCACAGCCAGATGGAGCCTTTTTTTAATAGCCTTCTTCAGCCACAGAGAGATATGGGGTCTGCTTTAATGCTTTAGCCTTGTGTCCTGTTTTTGAACACTTCTGAAGTATTGGGATATTCCTAACTCACTAGACACCTGCTAAATTGCATAAGTCAGTAGTTGTGGGCCCTTTCATAGAAAGTGAATACAGCAGGTAACTGAAGGTACAGCAGGTGAGTTTGCTTAGCTCTGGCGCACAGAAACCAATGCTGTCTTTGTTTCCCTCTGTATCAGCATCTGACTGAACTAGACCATCCAGAAAGACCAAACAGGAAGACAAAAAACTCACCCACAAATTTGTAATAATATTTATTACTTTTCAAATGCTTCTCGAACTGTCAGAATTGGACTAAACATCTTTTAGATCAGGCCCAAACTCACTTAAATTTAAGTTAATTTCTGTAGAAAAGGGAGGTGATGAAGTAGAACACTCAGGTTCTGTATTTGAGGACACAAGAGATTGTTGCCAGTCTTCATAGTAACTCAGCCCTCTTGACCTCGTCAGCCAGTGTCACTTAAATTTGTGTCCCAACAAAAACAGTTTTTCCCATTAGTCAGCCATATAGTGGATAAACTTTTAAAAAATGTAAATAGATGGCTAATTGTTTCTGTCATTCTGAGGCCTCTTCTATTTAAACACTCTTTGCTGAATTTATTGATTCTACTGTAAGAACCATGGAAACCAGAAACCATGTTTAGAATTTATTTACTTTTTGTAGAGCGCTATTGGGTTCTTAGAACACCAACTATCACTAGAAATAAGGGGTTTATCTGAGAGTAGTACCTTCCCTCTATGTCAGGATGATGAAGTGTGACTGTCATTTAGGCAACCAGTTCCAGGGAGCACAGCAGGAGAGGACCCATTGTCTTTACCCGGCTCTGTCTTTGGAGCTGCCATGTCACTTCCTCTTTCTCAGGATTAGTAAAATGGGGATGAGTCCCAGGGGTTTTCTGGCATTTCAGAAGGAAGCTCTCATGGAGGTATTTGCATGCATTCTTGAATATAGCCTGGGGAAAGTGATGTCAGGCAAAAGATACTTGGTGTTTTGCTCTGTTTGGGCTATTTAAAAAACCTGATATATTGAGTAGCTTTTAAAAACCAGAAATGTATTTCTAAAGTTCTGAAAGTCCAAGATCAAGGCATAACTAGATTTGATGCCAAATGTTTCCAGGAGACTGTGGTCACTTTCTTGGTGTGTCCTCCCATGGCAGAGGGGGAGATGGAGCTCTCCGTGGTCTCTTTTTATGAGGACACTGATCCCATTTATGATGGCCCTGACCTCACAACCCCATCACCTCCCGAAGCTAAGCTTTTCACACATGAATTTTGGGGAAAGCGAGAGAGAAACATTCAGGGCAGCCATGCAGGCAGCATGTTGAAAGAGTTCTCCACAGAGAGCACAGATGGTCTCAATGCTACCTTGCTAGAAAATCACTGTACACATGACACTACAGAACAGAATTGTGGACTTTTTAGATCTACTATGTTTAATAAGAGAGTTTATACCCTGGAGAAGAGTATTATCCTTCTTTGGATAATGAAGATATTTGGGAGAGATACTCTTGATACTCTTTTGCTGAATTTCTCCTCATCACCATAGGAGCTCAAGAGGGTCACAAATAACACCCTGGCACTCCCGGTAGAATCTGACAAATACAAGCCTGTATTTTACTCTTGGACAATTGAACTTGTGACTAAATAGACTAAAGTTCTAGTCATTCAGATTGTATTTTCTGTTGTCACCTTGTCTTTAGTCTCCTCTAAGTCTCTGTTTCTATTCTTGCAGGCTAAGAATGCAAAAAATTTTAGAAACTAAAAAAAATTATTGTTTAATGTAATTCATCTGGATCATTTTACTCTTCTTCTTGGTCTTTATGGAGCCTGTGAATGATATAATTTCTTATGTTAAATGTTGGCATCTTACACTTCTTGCTTTGCCCAACCACCTTCCTTGTTTCTGGGAGGCAGGGGCTGAGCTCTGCAAAGAATGGACTGTATGCAAACTTGTCCACAGCTGAA